AATCTTAGTCCACAATTTATCCCTTTCCAAAGAGAACCTCCACAACCACTTCCCCAAAAGAGCCATGTTCCTTTTCTTGAAATTACCAATCCCTAGACCTCCTATTGTTTTACACCTAGAGACCACCTCCCAACTCACCCTATGATCTCTCTTCTCCTCTCCAGGCTCCCAGAGAAAATGATAAAAACAAGATTGCAACGAAATGGAGCAAAAAAGTCTTAACTCCAATTACCCAAGAACTTTCTAATCTTGTAGTGATTACAAAACAGCCCAGAATAATGTGTCTCTATTTACCCCTTGCCTAGCTAGACCGTCAGCCAATGTATTTGCACTTCTCTTAATCCAATTACATTGAATTTCCATATCCCTGGTTAACCATTTATATTTCCTCTTTTCATTGCTGTATTTCCACATCATAGCACTGTCCTCTGTTAGCCATTTCACCACCATTGCAGAATCACCTTCTATAACCACCTTTTTGAACTTCATTTCCTTGACCCTTTGAATCCCTTCAATAGCTCCAAGAATCTCAGCCCCCAATGAATCTCCCACCCCAATCGGCCCAAAGTACATGGCTAACAAGTTTCCTGTTCCATCCCTTATCACACCTCCAATTCCAAAAGGCCTTGGATTGCCTATGCTGCTACCATCAAAATTCAGTTTGGTGAATCCAATAGGTGGAGGACTCCAGCAAGCTTTTGATAACTTTCTACATAAGCCTGAATCTGCAATCTCCTTCCAATTCCTTAACAGCTCATCAACTGAGAACACTTTGAACTGCTCCAGTGTTCTCAACCATTGTGTCATTCTAATGTGAATGCTGACTATAATTTCTTCCACGCCTCTCTTTTTACTTGACAAGATCCTTGAGTTCCTCTCCTCCCACACTGTCCAACAGACTGCAGATCTACCACACCTCCATATGATTTTAGCCCTTTTACTTGGCCAATTAGGCATGGAAGAAAACAAGCTTAGAACATTCAAGGGGGGGGGGTCCACCTACATCCAAACAAAAAAGTAAACCATACCCAAATAGCTTTAACAAACCAACAAGAAATTAGCAAGTGATATCCGGATTCACCGTCAGACTTACAGAGAACACACCAATGAGGAGACAAGCAGTTGTTGGGTCTTTTACTTTGGAGTAGATCCCCATGTATTAACTCTTCCCAGGAAGGTTTCCCAACAAAAACTCCCAACCTTAGGAGGTATAGGTCGACACCACACTTCTTTAACAGGGAAAGAAAAGCCAGCGGGATGAGGGGGTAACAGTGCTTTGAAAAAGGAGGCACAAGTATAGGAGCCTGAGGAAGTGAGTGTCCAGATTCTGCTATTTGCTTTAGAAGGCTCAATAAAGACCCCTTCAAGGATAGAAAGTAAGGCTATGGTACAGGCAAACTCTATGTCCCTAACACCCCTTCTTAAGCTTAGATTCCAATCAAACCCAGAGGGTGAATTAGAAGGAACAATAAAGGAAGAAATTGGTTCATTCTTGAAGGAGGACAAAGCAAAAAGGCATGGAAATTGATCTTTCAGAGGGGAGTCCCCAACCCAAACTTGTTCCTAGAATTTGATAAGTTTACCAAAATGCAAGTCATACCTGATCCATGGAAAGATTAAAGGCAAGATGGCTTGAATGGCTCTCCAAGGGGAAGCTCTTGTAGACCTTGCTAGAATTCTTGAATCCCAACCATTATCTGCCAGTCCATGTATACTTCCCACAACCTATCTTTCTCCAGTGAGAATCTCCATAACCATTTTCCTAGTAGTGCTAGGTTCCTAGTCCTAATATTACCAATACCCAACCCTCCCTCCTCTTTAGCTCTACAAACCACCTCCCATTTGACCCTATGGTCCCTCTTCTCCTCCCCCGGCTCCCACAGAAAATCCCTCATTAGCTTTTCCAACCAATTGGCCACCTTCACCGGTATCCTAAAAACTGATAGAAAATATACAAGAAGGTTAGCCAACGTAGACCTAATTAGGGTGATTCTCCCTCCAAGGGACAAATAATTTCTTTTCCAGTTGGCCAGCCTCTTTTCAAATCTCTCCACAACAGGGGCCCAGAAATCATCTCTCTGAGGATTATCTCCCAAAGGTAAGCTCAGGTAGTTTAACTGCCAAATAGACACTACACATCCCAAAATATCTGCAAACTCCCCCATATTGACTCCAACCATACAACTTTTTTCAAAATTCACCCTAAGATTTGACATCTGTTCAAACAACTGTATAGAGAGTTTCAAATTTTTAATCCAATTGACATCCCCACCTTCGCAAAACAGAATCGTATCATCTGCAAATTGTAGATGTGTAAGTGGTACATTATCCCTTCCAACTCCCCACCCTCTTATAAGCTCCCTGAAGTCTGCTTTAGATATCAAACCCCCCAGCACTTCAGCTACCAATGTGAACAAAAAGGGGGATAGAGGGTCACCTTGTCTGATCCCCCTCAAAGCTGGGAAATAGTCCACCATTGTCCCGTCCACCAAGATAGAATAATGACTATCCTTAATGCATCCCATCATCCAATTGCACTAGATATCTCCAAACCCAAAATTCATCATCACCTCCAATAGAAAGGACCAATCAACCATATCATAAGCCTTTTCCAGATCTAGTTTGCAGACCACTCCTCTTCTCCTGGATCTCTTGTAATCCTCTAAACTCTCATTTGCTACCAGTATCTGATTTGTTACTTGTCTCCCCCTCACAAAAGCTCCTTGATTGTTCGAGATGATAGATGGTAGCACCTTTTTTATTCTAATTGACAACACCTTCATGATGATCTTATAAAGGCTGTTAACTAGAYTGATYRGCCTGTAGTCCTTTGGGTGGCTTGCCTCACTTTTCTTGGGAACTAAAGCAATGAATGTGGAGTTTAGCTCTGGGTTAGTCACTCCTCTAGTATGGAATTCACAAATACCAACAGTATATCCTCCTTTAAAATCTCCCAACAATCTTGATAGAAAGCCATCGTAAAACCATCTGGGCCCGGTGCCTTTGATCTATCCATCGAAAATACCGCCTCTTTTATTTCTTCCAACTCAAATTTCTTCTTCAACCAATCCCTCTCTTCTCTCTTCAGTGTTAGCCAATCCAAGCCCTCCAACCATACCCTATTATTCAGTGACCTTCTATATATGCTCCTAAAATGATCTACAAATGCTCCTGTTATTTCTCTCTGGCTTGTGATGTTGTTCCCTTCAATTTCCAATCTAGTAATAGAATTCTTCCTCCTTCTGCCACAAGCCAAGGCATGAAAGAATTTAGTGTTCCTGTCCCCCTCTGTTAACCACTTGCATCTTGACTTCTACCTCCAGCTTATTTCCTCCTGAAACATGTAATCCTCTAACAGTTTCCTCAAACTCCACTTGTGTTCCTTGTCCTCTTTAGTTAGGTCTTCCCTCCCTTCTTTATTGTCCAGGTCCTCAATCTGTGTGATCGCATTTTGTTTCCTTTCCTCCAATCTCCCAAATTCCAGTAGATTCCATTCCTTGATTCTCCCTTTCAGATACGGGAGCTTCTTATGAAACCTCATTCCATACCACACCCCTACTGGATTGCTCTCTACCCACCACTCTTTAACCTTCCTAATGAACCCTAAGTGCTCTAACCACATGTTCTCAAATCTAAATGGAGCTGGGCCCGCACTACGCACCTCCTCCTTACAAAGTACAATAGGCCAATAGTCAGAAGTCACCCTCGGGAGTGCTCTAGAGTTCAGATTCCCCCAATGTTCTTCCAGGTAATTTGTAAATAGGAACTAGTCCAACTTAGAGCAAATTGGATTGGTTTGGAGATTGGACCAAGTATAGCACCTCTGTGACAGTGGAATTTATTTTAATTCATAGGCCTCAATGAATTGGTTAAACCTCCTCATACTTGTGGTGCTCCTCTACCTAGAACTATTTGTTTCTGCCAGGAATCTTATTACATTAAAGTTACCTCCTAGGCACCATGGACCTTCCCACAAACCCCTTATGTCAGCCAGCTCCTCCCATAATAATCTTCTTTCTCTGTAGTCATTTGGCCCATACACATTGGTTAATACCCATTCGAAACCATCTTCCACTTGCCTAAATTTCAATGAGACTTTGAATTGTCCTACCAATTCCTCTAAGCCTTCCACTACCTCATTTTTCCACAATGTCACCACCCCCTATTGATCCCCAGGACGGTAGAACGGCCCAACTAATCACCCTGCTCCTCCACACACTCCTTGCCCATTTGGTATCAAATTCTGCTCTTTTCATTTCCTGTAATAGTACCACATTGGGGTCCATTTTCCTGATGACTCCTTTTATTACTGCTCTCTTCCTTGCACTACCCAGTCCTCTCACATTCCGACTTAAATTTTCATTATTCTTTTTATGTCCACCCCTCACTCCTTTTTCCTCACCTACTTCCTCCCCTCCTAGCCCCTCTAGTTCTAATGCCTTTGTCACTTGCCCCTTCCTTCACCTTGCTTCCAGCCTCACTCATTCTCCTCCTCTTGACCTTGACTTCTCTCTTTTTCTCCAGGAATGCTTTCAGCTTATTTGGATCCTTTAGTTTACACCCCAGTTTTTGTACAAATAATGCCACAGAATCCTCACTTGCCAACTCTTTTTTCTCTGATTCTTTCATTTTATCTTCCTGGTCCGTGTCCCACCTGTGCCTTCTTCCTCCTTGTTGTACCCTAACCTAGCCTCAGTAGCCCCTTCTTTCAACCATTCATTCTCCTCCACCTCAGGTAATATATTCTCACTGTCTCCTAAGGACCTAAGGCTATTGTTTACTTCCTTCTCTCTTTCGACCTCCCTCTCTAACTCCTCTCTACCTCTACAACTAATAACCGGCCCTCCTACACAGACTGCAGCCTCTGAAATGGGAACGGAATCTGGCACACAAGACACACAGCAACCATTAGTACCAATAACTGAAAGGACACTGTTACCTTGGTTTATCTGGAGCGGACTAGAGGCACTAGAGTTAGAAGCTATCGGATCCTGGAAGGTGTGGTTGTCGGCTAGCTCCTTGGCTCGGATTTGTGGAGTTGAACTTCCTGTCTCTTTTGTTATACAGTAGTCCCTCTCTGCACCCAACTGTTCGTCCCTCCTTGCTATGTTCCTTCTTTGCTTCAGAGAAGTCATGGATAGTTCCTTACTAAACTCTCGCCCATTGTCAAGCTTTGGTACAGGAACTTCTAAAGCCAGATTGTCATTGCCTTCCCCACCCTTGTTCTCTTGGTGTATAAGCCGATCCAGCCTATATCCTTCCCCTGTATCTTCTGAAAACAACGTACCAAGGTGCAGGGTTGCAGCCAAATCCGCCTTTGAAAGTTGGTCTACCTCCATACTGCCTATACTGGACTGGTCGTTCGAGTCCTCTTCCAGATCTGGATCTTCCAGTTGGTAGTTTACCCATCCCTCGTCAACTCCTTCCTTTTCCGCACCACCCTCTCTTACATATCTGGGATTCTGTCTGTCTTTCACCGAGCTGCTTCCTTTTGAATGCTCAGACACTGATCTAGGGATCCATTGTAGAGGTTTCATTTTCCGCCAAGCCAGAATAGGGTCTCCTGCGTAGGTCTTCTTCAAGAAGGAAGAAAATAAACGCTTTTTTCATCTATAATCCCCTTCAGTTTGTCCTGGGCCACGTGCTCACTTAAACAGTCACGTGGCCCCAGGACCGAACCTAAAGCCAGCCTGGCCCCACCTCCAACCGTTTCAGACCCTCCAGCCTGCGACAAGCCATTACGTGGTCCAACCCTCTTCTTGACCACGTCAGCAAAGGATGCTCGAGCCCCCCCCCCCCACTTCAAGACACTTCAAAAAATTTTAATTTTTTTTCCTTAAATGGCTTTCTTGTCTCTTGGTTTTCCAGTTGCCGCTTTTCAGTTACCTCCTTAGGCCTTTGTCGTTCCACCTTCAGGTCCGCCAACACCTGTCTGCCACGTGGGATCGACCCCGCCACATCCCCTTCATCTTCTACCTTGGTTCTTCTTCCCCAAAGCTCCACCTCCAGCTCCGAGACCATCCATACTCTGTACCAGACATTGTCAACAAGGATTTCAAACGTCTTTGGAATTGATTCTGGTGCCACCCCTTTAACTTTCACCTCCACTGCTCGAAGATCCTGTAGATTGCATTCTTCCAATAGTCACGTGGGATTGACCCTCTAACTTTCACCAATTCACTACAGTTTCAGAGTCTCCTTCTAAGATCAGCTTGTTTATGTTCAAGTCCTTAGCCCTTTGAATCCCTTCCAGAGCTGATAAAATCTCAGCCAATGAGTCCCCTATTTTCCAATTGGGCCAGGAAACATAGCCATCACAGTCCCTCTTTCGTCCCTCAAGACTCCCCCTATTCCGGAGGGCCCAGGATTGCCCATGCTTCTGCCATCAAAGTTCAGCTTGGTAAGGCCAATAGGTGGAGGGGTCCAAACAGAATTTGAGACCCTCTTGGCTGGGGCTGAATCTGCAATTTCCTTCCAATTCCTAGACAAATTGTCAACTGAGAAGTCCATAAATAAGTCCAATGTTTTCATCCAATGAACTACCCTTGCATGAATCACTTCTATCATTGCTTCCATACTTCTTTCATTTTTTGAGAAGATTCTCAAGTTTCTTTGTTCCCAAATAGACCAACACGTTGTGGCCCTAACACATCTCCACCATCTTTGCTCTTTTAGTTGGCCAGCTAGAAGGAGAGGAAATAAACAAGCTTTGCACATCCGTTGGAGAGTTCCACCTACACCCAAATAAAGAAGTAAACCATTCCCAAATAGAGCTTGCAAATTGACAAGATATTAGTAAGTGAAACCCAGACTCACTAGCAGCTTTACAAAGGACACACCAATGAGGAGACAGACATCTATTGAGCCTTTTTCTTTGAAGAAGATCTCCTGTGTGAACTCTTTCCAGGAAGGCTTCCCAATAGAAACTTCCCACCTTCGGAGGAATAGGTTGAGACCACACCTCCTTAACAGGAAAGGACAGACCAAAGGGAACAATTGGTTGTGTTAAGGCTTAAAAAGGAAGCACAAGAGAAGGTACCAGAAGGAGAGAGGGTCCAAATTCTGCTGCCTACCTTTGTTGGTTCCAGGAACACTCCTATTTAGGCATTTTTTGTATTTGGTAGAAAAAAGTCTACAAGTATTTTTCTCCCTTTCAAAGTGCTTTTAGATATGTGCTATAAACATGTGGATCTTAATCTGTATAATCCCAAAGGTGTATACAACATCAGCACCAACATTACAGAAAAGGAGTCTATCGTGTAAAGCTATACAAGCACATAGCTAAACAAGTTCCCTATGGCAATCAAGATGCTTGTATGTTGTTATTTTATTATCTCTATCTACTTGTTCATACATCTTTTGAAGTTTGGTGATACCAAGAACTTATAAGTTCTAGAAGTGATGTGCTACATCTTAACCCAAGTTTGGTGCCAAATGGGCAAGGGTATCCTAGGGTGTTTCCCAGAAGTGATGTGTCACAGCAATAACTGGTTTTGATGAGAAATAGGCAAGGGTTCCCACGTCCTTTTAGATGAGGATGGGTAAAGAAACATGAGTTCAATTTAACAATGGATATATCATTAAACAAAACAGAATAGTGAAACAGCATTCACATGGCAAAGCTCATATAGTTAGGGTAAGGCTTAGATGGAGTAAGACTGTAAGAGTAAATAGAGACATGAAGAGGATGCATTGATGAAGATAATTAGAGTTATGGCATCTGCCTTCCTGAATCAAGTATGCAGTCACATGAAACTCCATATGAGACCTTCAGTAGAATTATATCGAAGAAGGAAAACAGAATACTTGATCATCAAAACAAAAAAGAAAAAAAAAAAAAACAGGGCCAAAATTCTATTGTCAAACTCATCTTTCTCTTTTACTGCAAAGTTATGGGCATTATATAGACTCATTTCCCTAATCTAAAGATTTTAATCACTCTCTAACTCATACTTATGGATGGAATAACTTTTTACTAAGTAAAACTCATTAAAATAAACTTATAACAATAATTTACTTTTACCCATTACAGGTTTGACAAGAATCCCGGAAGAAGAGATAACAACTTCTGAACCCAATATGTCCCAAAATAAGTTCTAAAAAAATAAAATTCTAATTTAAAATTTTAAATAACCTAAAGATGGAATCCTGTCAGACTGGTTAATGGCCTAAATATCAACCATAACTTGCCTAGTTGATGCTCAAATAGCGCAACCTTGATCTTGTTGGACGCAAATTAAACAACCTATCTAATGACACCAAATTAATAATGCTATATCATAGTTGTTCAAGAATGGCTACCATGTAATCTCAAAAGCAGGGAGTTTCTCTTTGGGTTTTAAGAGGAAATACAATGTAATTTGAGGGAGGAATAACTAAAAATTATTAAAAGGAAATGAGAAAGTGCAGTCTGCAATGATGCTAAACTAAAAAATAAGCACCAATTGTCTTATATAGAGGGAATCCATATGAATAAAACACTAATAATTGGCAAACACTACAAGTTTCAAACTGAAAATATAAACATCCAACTTCCAAATGAAAATTAAAAAACAAAAAAAAAAAGAAAACCAACATGAACAAAGAAGAATAAGGACAAGGGAAAGGGAAGGGGGATTAAAGAGAGAAAAGTGCAAAAAGTGATGACCTTTTTCTTTGGGACAGCCATGAGATCCATGGAGGCACCAAAAGAGAATTTGGGAAGTATTATAACAAGCTTGCTTTCCAAATCTTTGTTGAATTCAGGTAAAACACAGTGTGCTCCAGTTGAACTGCCAATGAGCCTCTCCAAAGGAGCAGATCGAACAGAATGAATCCACCTTTTATAGCCTAGCCTAAGCCCCAAACTTCCCGTCGTGTTTCTGAACATATTGGTCATAAATGCCATTGTTGCGGCTCAGTCAAAGCTCAAGATTCTATCTCCTTGAGCACTCACTGTTAAAAATATTAAACGTATAGGATGAGAATGAGTGAGTTTAGAGGAGCACAAGACATATTCCATACCTACAATTAAACACCAGCAGGAAATGATGCAATACACAAGGTATAGTAAAATAAAGGAAAGGTAGCAGTGCCACAAAAAACCGGCAGAACTATTATTTCAGAGGAAATTTTCAAATAGAGATGGAAAGGCTAGAGGTATCAATGAGGATAGTGAGTACCAGCATTAAAGCCAACAAAAATCCAGAAATATGACAATAGAAAGTATGATAGGAAAAAAAATTTAGAAAACAAGGTTTATAGTAGAATTCAATTTAAGCAATCTATCTCTAATTGTCCCTTACCAATAGAAGGCCAATCCAACCAAACTTGAAACTTATTAAGAGTTAGGAATATACCAAATGTTATAGAAATCCATAAAGAGATTTTTTTTCTTAAGATGTATAAAGAGAATATCAATCACAAAATTCAAAAACCATGGGGATGTTAGCTAATATGTATGAGATTGTTTTTCAAAACAAAAGAATCTGTCATATCATCAAAATCATAAATATTGGCAATCACCCTCTATATCTAATGGATAAAACTAATAAGAGCAAAAAAAGCCTTGTATTACTAGATATACTCTATTATATTCTCACATTCTCCTGGTTTTAGGACATAATAAATTAAAAAATAAAATATAAGAAAGATAATCAAGGTGTAATGGTCTTAATGTTATTTGTATCTAAAAAATCCAAAATTCATGAAATAGATGAACAAGTCCAAAGAGGGGGAAAAAAAAGACTGTTGTGGGTTGAATAAGTCTAAAGTTCATTTTATGATTAAAAAAATGAAACGTTTTTTAATAGTTGATTCCAAATGATACATGAAGGGAAATAGGACTCCAACCCAATTAGACTTGAAATGGTTGTACCTAGAACCAAATTTGACATGCTAATATTTCAATTTTAATCATAACTTATCCATCAAATTCAGATCAGATTAGGGCATATCATTAATAAATTAAATAAAAAAGATTATTTTATAATGAATGAGCTGGAAATCATTTAAAATATTTTTTGAGATGAAAGATAACAGATTTCATTAAACAAGAAAAAATATGTACAACAAGGAGTTCACACACAGATTACAAAGGCATAATTCTCTCGCTATGTAAAAGTTCCCTGTGAGCTCCCAATTTAGCCAACCAATCTGCTACATAATTTAACTCTCTGGGAATCCAGAACAGATTAGCATTCAAAAAGTCCAGAAGATCAATTTAACTCTCTGGGAATCCAGAACAGATTAGCATTCAAAGAGTCCAGAAGATCCCAAGCCTCGTTCAGATAATGAACTAGCCTCCATGGCCCTCCATTCTTCTCCCCAAGCCATCCAATGGTATTGCTCGAATCTCCTTTGATGACAAGGGAAGACAAGCCAAGGTCTCTTGCAATCCAGAGTCCAGTTAGCACTGCTAAAACTTCAGCCTTTGTAGAGTCTGCCATCCCAATTGGACCACTGTAAGCCGACAATAAATTTCCATGCCCACCCTTAAACACACCCCCGATCCTTGCTAAACCAGGGCTCCCAAGGGCACTTCATCAAAGTTCAGGGTCACCTCCTCTTCTAATCTTGACTGAAGGATGCTTGTTGCTTTTAGAGAAGCTGGGGAAGAATACAAGATCTCCACCGTACTTCTCTGAAGATCATTCAAGGGAACACCTTTGAACTCCTCTGAGTTCAGCAACCAAATGCTGCACAAGTGGAATATGTAGGATAACAATTCGCCCATAGATCTAGCTTTATTACTGAAGATTCGGTTGCTTCTCTCCTCCCACACCCCCACATAACTGCTTGAACCATGGTGCACCAATACATTTTTCCCCTTTTTTCAAGGCCTATTCCTTGCCATTGCCAAAGGAGGTCTTCAATGTGTTCAGGAAAGACCCAGTTGTACCCTACTAGATTTAGGAAGAAGCACGTGCTCAGCAGTCTCACCATTGTTTAGGCACAATATACAAGTACGGGGGGCAATACACAGTCTCCCTTTGTTTTTCCACTGTAACAAGTAACAAGTGTTTATTTTTTTAGAACAAGCCTCCCATACAAAGAAGGAAACTCTAGAAGGGATATGGGAGATCCAAATCCTTTTGGCAAGAAACTTAGAGTTACTAGCTTCCTAAGTTAGGGTTCTGAAAAAAAGATTTGGTTGAGAAATCACCATCTGGGCGAGTCGTCCAGATTCTTTGGTCTAAGTTTGAGGTGGACAGATAGACCTCCCCTAAGGAATACAGCAGATCTGCCAATTCAGCTATCGTTATATCCCTTAAAGGCCTTCTAAGACTTGGGTCCCAGTCAAGGGTAGTTGGGGATACTTGGATACAGGTTGCAATGGTGGCATTTTGGGCTTGGGAAAGGTTAAATAAGTGAGGATAAGAGTTGGCTAAAATGTTATCTCCCCACCACAGGTCAGTCCAGAATTTGATTTTTTCCCCATTACCTACTTTATATCTAACAGATGAAATAAAGACATCATAAACAGAGGAGATGCCTTTCAGGGGCTGCTAGCTCGCACTTGGTTCAAGTAAGTCTTGCTATCCCAACCGTTGGTGTCCTTTCCATATTTGCTGTTGATAACAGAAGTCCAGAGAGCACCAGGTTTCAAAGGGAACCGCCATTAAAATATTATTTTATGGGAAATATTCCCATTGCCACACAAACATAATCATATAGGTCAAGCTGCTTCCTAGTTCCCACTGTATCACTGATTGAACAAAGCATATGAGGTCTATAGAAAATAATCATTGGGTGGTTGCTGCTTCCTATTGTTTCACTTGTAAAACTCAAAGTAATCTCTTGGTACAAGGTAGGAAAGAAGATACATTAGCACATTAGCATCATGCTTCATCTTGATGTGCTATGGTCCTTCCCCAATGAATATGCATTTTTCTGATACATGGAAATCTAGAAGCAACATGCTCTGCCAAAATTATTTTCTAAAGCTTTGTGTAGACTATAGGTTCATTATTTTAAGACCTTGTTATGCTTTATTGACTTTCAGTCATTCCTTTGTGTTCCTCCTTTATTGGTCACTGAATAAGGCACATTAAGATAAAAGGTTTTGGCCTTTCCCTTAAAATAGATACAGACAAGTAAGAACTATGAGCATAATGTTTGTTCTCTTGTATATAGAGAGCTCACTGTGATCTGCTACTGTTCCAGCATATGTTATCTTATTAGGATGCCAACCACACTAGCAGTGCCAAAATGCACATTTTTGCATATCCACTATCTAGTTCGTAAGCTTGTGATCAAGCTTGTACAGATCCATTTTAAAGAAACACAACCTATTTGGTTATTTTCAATGAGTATTGATGTCTTAAGGACCAGGCCAGACAGGATTGTTAGACCATGTTGAACTAGGAAATGTCCCCTCTTTACATGATAGATTACCACTCTCAAAATGTAATGAATTGACAAACTGGATAGTCTAGCCAGGAACCATATAGATTGTCTGGGTTCAAAAGTTCAGTTCTAAATATATACATACTCGTTTCTATCTTCACCTACATTTTTGGCTACATTACCAGCTTGACCTTGGGTTGGACCAACATTTAAACTGCATCAGCTTCTATTGGGTTCGCTGTTCAGTTTGGTTTCTAAACTTTTGTTTGAACATTTTAATTTAAACTTGCAGTTTCATTTGAAATCACACTGAACACAATACTAAGTACTGAAACACCACCACATCTGTATAGACTAATATAATGGCAATGCTTTGGATTATTTCGGTAGGGAGACATGATGTGGTGATGGAAATGATAAGTAGGGGAGAAAAGTGAAAACATCTTTCGGTAGAGAGTGGAAGTAGGAATAGTAACACCAAAATTTCTACCATTTTGTTCAGAACAGAACTACCAGGTAAAAAATCACAAAAAAAAGGGCAATTCTAAGAATCATGCGCCATTACAGAGTTTGACAAAGGCATGACAAAGATCAGGGGGAGTTTTGTATTACGTACCTGGTAATTCCAGTGAGAAAAAGGTCCTCCTATACCTACTACCGGTTGTCAAATGATCAATTGATGGCTTGTTTCCCAACGGAAGGGATGAATTGCTTCTGAAAACAAGAAACAAGAAACATAAAAAAGATAGAAGGAGGAAGGGAATAGATCAGAAGCTTGAGTATGTGTTTTAGAAGCCAATGAAGAGGATGACGTCTGCCCCGGTTACCGCCGATGTGGGTGTGCTACCGCTGGAAGTGAAGAAGCTTGGTGTTGGGAGCGAAACACTGAAACAGTCTTTTAGTTTTAGGGCGTTCAAGGGACGAAAGGGCAGCTTTGTCATTTTATCTTTTTTGACATGGGTACTTTGGGGAGAAAAAAGTTTAGTTTCAGCTTCCCGAAAAAGCATAAGCTAATCTTGGTTTTTGAATTGCACCCAATTTTTTTTGGGAAAATTCCCAATAGGTACCCTGAGTGCCAATTTTAGTACCAGAACTTTTTGAGACGATTTAGTATCAGGTATTAACTCGTCGTCAGTGGGGTTATACATGTATGGGCCCGTAAGATTGACCGAAATGGAATCTTTTTAGATAGAAGGGTAAATGACATTATTTGTGGCTGAAATTTTTAAGGGTAGGTTTTTGGACATTTTGAGTTGATTGGTGGGGTCAGAATAGGCCAAATGGTCCCTGGAAGATCTAG